AACACTCTGTGGAGCCAGCAAGTTTTTGTCAGACAATTGTATCCATATGGAACCATTTCCTCCCCAAGAGCCGGTTTATTTTCAAGTCCTCATGCAAATAGGAGTGGAATGCAGACAAATCCTGTACTGCAGACAAAGCAATTTATTTGAGCGTTTTAGAAAGAAATACAAATAGTGCTTAGGACTTAAGGTTGAATGTATAGGAAATAGTGAAAGACCAGTGACTCAGTTTATACCGTTAGACTACGTGGGTTCATTCTCCAAGCTGCAAGAAAGGGAAAAGCTCCTAAAAAGAGCAGTTTCTCAAATACTCATAGAAATCACCAGTTAGTGCGAAGTGACTGGAAAAATAAAAGAAAGCGAAGCTATTCTTCCATACCAGTCCCTAAAAATAATTGTTTGTCAAGCTTCTCTGTTTCACATACTTCCCTGAGAAAACTTTCTATATCCCCTCAGCTAAATATAGCTTTTTATTGGCAGTCATTTTTTCAACATCAGTGCAAGAGTTCACATGAGAAAGGTTGCAGCTCTCCATATCATCACCATTAACGCATGGGAAAACAGTTCCAGTTCATATGGGTCTCTGAAACCTAGAAGATTTGTTCCACACTGGAATTTGTTCCACTGCTTGAAAACAAGTATTATTTTTTTTTGCAGATGTTACACATTGCAGTAGAGTAGGTGAGTAGAACTATTGGCTAGGCCAGTGGCACTAGGCATGAAAAGATTGTGTTTGCACTCCTGCTCTCCTTAAAGCAGAACATCCCACAATAACAATCTCAAGCACATTTTCTCACCCGCTGCCCTTGCTCAAATCCTGGAAGTAGCTCTTTCATTTAATATGTTCCTAACAGAATTTTGTCAAACTCTGAAGTTGCTACAAAAAAAAAGTTGAATGATGCCAGAAAAGCCTATTTCAGCAAAAACAAAGTACTCTGAAAATACCGCAACTATTTCTCATCAGTGTGTAGATGAATTGGACTCTATTCCAGTGCCAACACAGACCTGCCAGTGCACATGCTATTTCTTCTCTCTCATGCCCTGTCCTCCCAGCATTCTCACAGGATTGGGCAAGAAGATAATTTTAAACCAGTTTTGGTATAAAAACAATTTTCCGCTACAAAGGGCTGATTCATCAAAATCAAAAAGTGTTCACAAGAATAGCTTAGATTTCAGGGAACCTCCTGGTAAAAGAATTTGGGGAAAACTTTTTAAATTTAAGACTATCTTTTATATTCTTTTTATCTAATTAATACTAAAACAATGCTAGTTGTTGTTTGTTTTTAAATTAAAAAGAAGTCTGAAAACAACACATCTAAATATGGTCACAGCTTAAAAGGTTGATTGATTTGTGACAATTTTTTGTCCTTTTGTAGCCTGTCGCAATTCAGAATTGTGTCTTAATTGTAATTTTTGCTGGGTAATTTTATTTAACGCTTTCAGGAGACAGAAAACCATTTACCATCTCGTGACTGTGAAATTCTATTCTCCCTATGCACTTTTCCCTTTGTGTGATAGAATTCAGTGAGCAATCCCAATACACCACATGCGAGACGGTTATAGCTTTGCAATAAACTCTCATCAATATCCTCTCTAAATTACACTACTACTGCTCTCAGGTCCTCTCTGTTTTCTGTACTGTTTAGCCATAATGTTATTTGATTGATCATTCAGACCTTTGATTGACCATTTAGATCTCTTAGATTTTTCTTCATACAGAGTCCTGTAGTTGAGGTCTGATTTGAGATCATCTGTTCCTGAACCTGAACTGCCGTTGTGCTGGACGTATCTCTTCAGCTGTTGTTACCCAAGTTCCTCTTGTTATAACACCGAGGGGGAGGCAGCCACGCTCTAGTCTAAGCCAACTTTTCTTGGGAGTAAAAATCAACCAGCTTTTGCCTTCCTGAGAAAGAGACATCAAAATGAGCGCTATTGAGAAGTCTCGATCCTGACCCCTTCTGCTTCTCTTTGGTTTTCATACGGAAGCCCCATTAAGACTAATGCTGGGCATCGGATGCAAACTGGGATGCGATGTTCGCAGTAGGGTCCCGAGAGGAGCAGCAGGCCCTCTGTACAAAGTGCGGTCGCTCTGTCTGACATTCTTGATTCAAGCAGCATTGTCACTTGGGCCTTTTTAACCTGAAACTAATTTGTTTTGTTTCCCCAGATTTTAGGCTGGTGTGTGATAGTTACCACAGCTCTTCTCTCCCTGCTAACCACTTGCTGTGCCAGCTGCCAGTCGAAAGTCAGCCACCTCCAACTGAAGTTCTGGAGGGTGTATGCAGAGAAGGAAAAGGAACAACTGGAGCAGATTTTCCAGCTCTATGCCACCAAGCTGAGCGAGCGAAACCTGAAGTGCTTTTTTGAGAACAAGGAACCAGAACCAATTCCCCTGCCAGCTTTTCAGGCATGGGAAGATGCTTCCCAGCTCTACTCTTTCAGCAATAGCAAACAGCATTATAGCACAATTCACAGGCTAGTTGAAGAAGGCCAGAAAGAAATCAATGAGGAACGAGAGACAACGCTGGACTTTGTAGACAGAACGGAAATACCATAGATAAATATATTTTCAGCTTTTTTATACTTTGCTAATACAGATTCCTTTTAGCTGGTTTCATCTCTATATTTTTTCCCAATGGCCTCTTTCTTCTTCACCATGTTCCCTTCCAGTTACAAACTTGCTCCAAAAGGATGGAATGAAATTATTTCCCTATATCAGTGAAAAGGCTGCAGTCCTCCATGGCACCTAGGGTTCATGCTCTACTAAAGTCGCTGGCTCCAGATCACGAGCTGACAGCAAAAAGAGATGACTAATGACTCCTACAAGACGGTTTTAACAATATCCTGTGTAAAAGGTGCTATAGTATGCTCATCCTGTATAAA